CACAACTCACAAGTCCTTCGGGAAATTTCCACATCGCGAGCTGGTGTCATGTATGCACAGGGCAGGCGCGCGCATATATATACCTACACACACACACACACACACACACACACACACACACACACACACACACACACACACACACACACACACACACACACACACACACACACACACACACACACACACACACACACACACACACACACACACACACACACACACACACACACACACACACACACACACACACACACACACACACACACACACACACACACACACACACACACACACACACACACACACACACACACACACACACACACACACACACACACACACACACACACACACACACACACACACACACACACACACACACACACACACACACACACACACACACACACACACACACACACACACACACACACACACACACACACACACACACACACACACACACACACACACACACACACACACACACACACACACACACACACACACACACACACACACACACACACACACACACACACACACACACACACACACACACACACACACACACACACACACACACACACACACACACACACACACACACACACACACACACACACACACACACACACACACACACACACACACACACACACACACACACACACACACACACACACACACACACACACACACACACACACACACACACACACACACACACACACACACACACACACACACACACACACACACACACACACACACACACACACACACACACACACACATTCTCAACTAAATTACATGATGCCATTCAAGTTAGAGAGCCAAAGAAAACTATTGACCAATCACATGCTACCTCGATAGCATCGTAAAGTACTGACTAATCACGTGCTACCTTATCCACCTTCTCCATAAAAGAATACAGCATATCGCTGCCCTGTTCACGCTTGCAGGAAAAATCATGTTAAGAGGAGATTGGATTCAGTTGGATTATGTTACTAGGTGAAAGTGTTATGTAAAGGAGTAGAAAATCTGACTCTTGATTGGTAAATGAACTGAATCACACACGAAAGGAGGAAAGAAACGTGGCTTCTGATTAGTTAATGTTAGACACAATTCTGGGAGCTCTCGGCTGTGATAGGTCAATATTTTGTTTCGGGTACTATAGTCACGTCATGCCTATTTCATCAGTGCATACGCCTCAGCACTGGATGCAGAGGATGACATCAAGGAGGCCGTTTATGCCGATCTTGACAGAGTGCGAGCCTTTATCCCCAGAGAAGATAAGTTTGTGCTCCTCGGTGACTTCAATGCCAGAGCTGGTAGAGATCCTGACATTTGGCAGAGGATCATAGGGAGAAATGGACTAGGCAAGATGTAATCCCAATAGCCTACTCCTCCTCAGCAAGTGCGCTGCACACAACCTCACTATCAACAATAACTTGTTTAGGCAGTCCGGCAAGTTCTAGGGTTCGTGGCAACACCCACAGTCTAAACACTGGCATCTCATTGACTACATCATTGTCAGAGAAAGAGATCGCCGAGATGTCCTCATCACCCGAGCAATGCATAGTTCAGACCACTGCAACACTGATCATCGGCTCGCCAGAGCCAAGCTCTCACTTCACGTCTCCCCAAAACAGCGAAGGCAACAAGCCTTCAGATAAGGTTTTAACACTAAACGTCTGGAGCATCCAGCGGTAGCACATGATTTCAGAGAGCAGCTCGAACATGTTCTGATAAACAGCCCAACAACAAACAACCCAAATCCCAGTGCTGAATGGAGTATTCTCGACACTGTATTGAGATAAAACTGCAGAGAGACCCTCGGCCAGATTGAAAGAATACACCAGGAGTGCTTTGATGAAAATGACCCGAAAATCAATGTACTCATCGATAATAAACGTGCTACTTTAACTGACTGGCAGAATAACCCTCAGTCTTGGACCAAAGCTGTTACCTTCCGCAAGAAGAAAGCGGCGGCCCAGTGCAAACTTCGGAATCAAAAGAACGACTGGTTTAAAGAAGAAGTATGCGAAACATAAAAACTTACAGATCAACACAAGATGCACGAATTTTTCAATTCCACTAAAACATTTTATGAGCCAGTGACTCATGGTAGAGCACCCTCCGCTCATCTAACGGTAACTTCACAATTAAAGACGATGAAGGCATCCTTCAGCGCTGGAAAGAGCACTACCATTCACTGCTTAACCGAAACACCGATATGGATGTCCTGACTACCCTGAAGGTCCCTCAGCATCCAGAGCAACCCATCTCAGCTATCCTTCATCCTTGGATGAGGTACCTACAGCCATTAAACAGATGAAAAATAACAAAGCCTCAGGGCCTGATGGAATCCCAGCCGAGGTGTATAAAGCAGGAGGACCTCTGCTTACTAGCCGTCTCCACTCTCCCCTAGAGAATATATGGGCAAAGGAGGAAATCCCCCAAGCTCTTAAAGATGCCTCCATCGTCAATATTTATAAGAACAAGGGAGACAGTCAGACTATGGCAACTACCGCGGGATCTCGTTACTGTCCATAGCTGGCAAGATTGTCGCCCGAGTCCTCCTAAACAGACTACTACCTGAGGCGGAGAGCTTCCTCCCAGATTCTCAGTGTAGCCTTAGAACATCACGTGGCACCAGTGATATGATCTTTGCTACCAGCCAGATAAAGGAAAGTGCATACAACTGTGTCGTGACCTGTACCTGGCCTTCATCGACCTAACCAAGGCCTTCGACTCGGTCAACAGGGAAGCCCTCCGGAGGGCCATCAGCCTGTTTGGCTGCCTACCAAAATTCACTGCTATTGTGAGGCAATTCCACGACGGCATGAACGACAGTGTCCTGCACAATGGCACCCAGACTGAGTTCTTCTCCATCCAAACGGGGGTAAAACAAGGCTGTGTACTGGCGCCAACTCTCTTTCTTTTTTTCTTGGCTGCTTTCCTTATTCGTGGTAATGTCAATTTAGCCGGCGGGTGGACATACAGTACCGGATGAAGGATCTTTTCAAAATACGACGACTCCAGGCAGGAACAAAGGTGTCGGCAGCTTCCATTACTGAACTTCAGTATCCAGAGGACCTTATCCTTGTCGCCCACACTGAATGCGACCTACAGGAGATCATGAACACCTCTGTAGATGCATATGCACACTTCGGCCTTGAGGTGAATGTAAGAGCTGCAACGAACAGTATGGTTGTCCGCCGCTCGTTTGCGGCCCCACTAGGGGGGGAAGACGGAGGTGAGAAGGTCGCTGCTGCCTCGTCGCACGCGAGACACGATCCAGCCTTGACCACAGCTGTTACTTCACCCCGCTGTTCGATTCCAACTCTGGTTGTGTACTCATCTGAGGTTCCTGGGGCTCATGTGCTGATTCCCCAGTCCTTCACTATTCGCCTGTCGCAACTTCCTCCACTCTCAATCCACCGTCCGTGCCCTGGCGTCTCTCTTGTGTGGCAAGACATCGCCTACCAACGCCAAGTGAGGAAGCTGCCCTGGATCTTCCCCCCGAGAGCGGATCACCGCGTTACCAGAAAATTTTGCAGGGCTGGTTAGAAGGAAGATTCATCTGCAGCCGTAGGAAATACCTGTTCTTTGTTCTATTGATTGTTTTGTTTAAGGTAACTGTTTGACTCCAGTGCTGTTTCTTTAATATTTATTGAGTGGTGTAGGTGTTAACTTCTTGTGATTATTTTCTTAGTAAAGAGATGTAAATCTCTAATGGTTGTTTATTACCCCTTGGAAACCCATAGTTCTTGACTTTTCTTTTTATCATATTCTGATTAGGCTAACAAGGGATTTATATCCTACAGGCCAGGCCCTTACAGTGAATGTGCACAAGACTCAGATTCTCTTTCAGCCTGTCCCTGGTTCAACTACACCTCCACTACCCATCCAGCTTAACGGTACTACCCTCTCTAATGTTACCCACTTTCAATATCTCGGCTCCCAACCTGTCCACCACCACGGACATCGATGAAGGTATTCAACATCGGATCAGATGTGCATCTCAAGCCTTTGGCACATTCCGTACCCGTGTCTTTAGCTGTAGGGAGCTGAAATTATCCACAAAGGTGCACGTATATCGAGCAGTGGTCCTCCCCACCCTGCTATATGGCAGTGAGACATGGGTTACGTACAGGAGGCAACTCAAGGCACTTGTAAACTTTCACCAACATAGTCTACTTTCCATCCCCCGAGTTCACTGGGAAGACAAAGAACAAATACCAATATTCTCACAGACACCAACTGTAGAGGCATCGAGGCTACCATTATCCTTGAACAACTACGCTGGACTGGCCATGTTAGCCGTATGGACGACAGTAGACTGCCAAAGCAGCTACTTTTCAGTCATCTAAGGAATAGTAAACGTAACGCTGGCGGGTAACTGAAAAGGTATAAGGATAGTCTTAAGACAAACCTGAAAAGTGCCAAATCGACCCCCTCACCTGGGAGACGATCACTCCACACCGTAATGCTTGAAGGATCACCACACGAGAAGGTGTCAATAATTTCGAATTTGCTCGACTACAAACCGAGGCAGACAAGTGCCAGCGCCAGAAAGACGCTGCCGCCACCCCTCCCGCACTAGATGGAGCCCTCCACGCGTGCAACATCTGTCAACAACTCTGCCGGTCCTGCATCGGCCTCTTTAGTCATCTTAAAACTCACAGAACGGCTAATCATCTCACTTGTCTTAAAGGGTTACTTTTAGCTCATCCACGAATCACTGGCCAATTTTAACTCCAGTTCTGTTGCTCATCCACCAATCACAGCCCAGTTTCATTTCCAGTTCTGTAGCTCATCCACCAATCGCAGGCCCGTTTTATTTCCAGTTTCTTTTCAGAGAAACTGTAACCTACACTATCACCAACCCCTCCACTACCACCATCACTACCACCACTATCACCAACATTACCACTACCACCACTTCCTCCTGTAGATCGATGTTAAGGTCATCTGGGGAGAATATTTATTTAATATGTGGACTGGCCGGACGCAACCGAGATATTAGAGTGGTTCATCTTGTGCTTCATCTGATGCTTCATTGGGTTCACTTCATCTTGTAGTTCATCTGGTGCTTCATCGGGTTCATTTTGTGGTTCATCTTGTGCTTCTTCTTGTGGTTCATCTTGTGGTTCATCTGGTGTTTCGTAGGGTTCATCTTGTGGATAAGCTGGTGCTTCGTAGGGTTCATTTTGTGGTTCATCTTGTGCTTCTTCTTGTGGATCATCTTGTGCTTCATCTTGTGGTTCATCTTGTGGTTCATCTGGTGCCACATCAGGTTCATCTGGTGCTTCGTCTGGTTCATCTTGTGGTTCATCTTGTGGTTAATCTGGTGGTTCAACTAGTGATTCGTTTTGTTCTACTGATGGAGGTCAATCTAAGGGTTCATCTGATTCAACTGGTGACTCGTATCGTGATATCGTGGTTCATTTTTTCCTTTGGGCTCGTCTGTACGATTCAACTTGTGGTTCAATACAATCATTCACCAAAATGACTAACGAATCTCAATAATAAAAAATAAACAAATAAATAAAATAAAATAAAATAAATAAATAAATAAATAAATAAATAAAACACATCTCCCCACAGTACGGTTATCTATGGGTCAATATATCGCCTACACATTTTACGTCTCACTGGGCGCGGTGTGTGTGAGGGAAGACGAGGAAGAGTCGGTCCAATAGTTAAACGTGAGGAACGATGGGCGGCGATTAACTAGTAGAATGTGGTACTGTGGTGATGGGTGGTAGTGTGGTGATGGGTGGTACTGTGGTGATGGGTGGTACTGTGGTGATGGGTTGTACTGTAGTGAGGGGTTATACTGTGGTGATGGGTTGTATTGTGGTGAGGGGTTATACTGTGGTGAGGGGTTGTACTTTAGTGATGGGTTTTACTGTAGTGATGGGTTATACTGTGGTGATGGGTTGTACTGTAGTGAGGGGTTATGCTGTGGTGAGGGGTTGTACTTTAGTGATGGGTTTTACTGTAGTGATGGGTTATACTGTGGTGATGGGTTGTACTGTAGTGATGGGTTGTACTATAGTGATGGGTTGTACTGTAGTGAGGGGTTATACTGTGGTGATGGGTTGTACTGTAGTGAGGGGTTATACTGTGGTGAGGGGTTGTAACGAAGATGGTTGTACTATAGTGATGGGTTGTACCAGGTGATGGGTTATACCGTGATGATGGGTTGTATTAGGTGATGGGCTGTACTATAGTGATGGGTTGTACTATAGTGATGGGTTGCACTGTGGTGATGGGTTATACTGTGATGATGGGCTGTACTCGTGTGATGAATAAATATGGTATGGGTTGTACTGTGGTGATGGGTTATACTGTGATGATGGGTTGTACTGTAGTGATGGGGTTATACTGTGGTGATGTGGGTTGTACTGTGGTGATGTGGGTTGTTCTGTGGTGATGGGTTGTACTGTGGTGATGGGTTGTACTATAGTGATGGGTTGTACTGTGGTGATGGGTTGTAACATAGTGATGGGTTGTACTGTGGTGATGGGTTATACTGTGATGATGGCTGTACTGTAGTGATGGGTTATACTGTAGATGGGCTGACTGTAGATGGGTTGTCTTGTGGTGATGGGTTGTACTGTGGTGATGGGTTGTAATTGTGGTGATGGGTTGTACTGTGGTGATGGGTTGTACCTATAGTGATGGGTTGTACTGTGGTGATGTGGGTTATACTGTGATGATGGGTTGTACTATATAGTGATGGGTTATAATTGTGGTGATGGGTTGTACTGTGGTGATGGGTTGTCTTGGTGGTGATGGGTTGTACTGTGGTGATGGGTTGTACTGTGGTGATGGGTTGTACCATAGTGATGTAACAGCCTGTGGTGATGGGTTGTACTGTAGTGAGGGTTATACTGCAGGATGGGTTGTACTGTAGTGACAGTTATACTGTGGTGAGGGGGTTGTACTTTTAGGATGGGTTGTACTATAGTGATGGGTTGTACTGTGGTGATGGGTTATACCAGATGATGGGTTGTATTGTGGAGATGGGCTTACCAGTGATGGGTTGAATATAGTGATGGGTTGTACTGTGGTGATGGGGGTTGTACTGTGATGGGTTGTACTTTTAGTGGGGATGGGTTGTACTATAAAGGATGGCCACCATAGTGATGGGTTGTACTATAGTGATGGCCACTGTGGTGATGTGGGTTACACTGTGTGATGGGGTTGTACCTGTGGTGATGTAATATACTGTGGTGATGGGTTGTACTGTGGTGATGGGGCTGTACTGTGGTGATGGGGTTGTACTGGTGATGGGGTTATACTGTGGTGAGGGGTTGTACTTTAGTGATGGGTTGTACTGGTGGTGATGGGTTGTACTGTGGTGATGGGTTATACTGTGGTGATGGGTTATACTGTGGTGAGGGGTTGTAATTTAGTGATGGGGTTGTACTGTAGTGATGTGGGTTATACTGTGGTGATGGGTTGTACTCAGGTGATGGGGTTGTACTATGGTGATGGTTGTACTATAGTGATGGGTTGTACTGTGGTGATGTGGGTTGTACTGTGGTGATGGGTTGTACTGGTGGTGATGGGGTTGTACTGTGGTGATGGTTGTACTGTGGTGATGGGTTGTACTATAGTGATGGGGTTGTACTGTGGTGATGTGGGCTATACTGTCAGGTGATGGGTCAGGCTGTGGTGAGGGGCTGTACTTTTTAGTGATGGGTTGTACTGTGGCATGCAGGTTGTACTGTGGTGATGTGGGTTGTACTGTGGTGATGGGTTGTACTGTGGTGATGGGTTGTACCATAGTGATGGGTTGTACCGTGGTGATGGGTTATACTGTGATGATGGGTTTTATTGTATATATTTGGAGGTACTTGCATACAGTATGTCAACGTGCATGTTACTATGTGCGTGAAGTCAGTGTGGCGCGTCTTCAGCCTGCGTACTTATCAGCGCATTGATGTACAGTCAAAGATTAAATATAACCCGTGAAACATTATGAGAGCCCCCTACCACAAGGCAGAAAGGTACCAAAAGTTTAGTCTTCGGCTAAACTACTTTTGTCTTTGACTATACATAGATGTTTGATGTGCTACAATAAGTAATATTCATGTAGTCTCGTGTGTACATCAATGAAAGCGTGTCCATATCATAGGTGTATGTGTAATAATAGTAATAATAATAATAATAATACAAATAATAACAATAATAATAATAATAATAATAATAGTAGTAATAATAATAATAATAATAATAATACACCAATAACAACAATAACAATAACAATAATAATAATAATACAAAATAATAATAATAATAATAATAATAATAATAATAATAATAATAATAATAATAATAATAATAATAATAATAATAATTCAATCAATAACAATAACAATAACACTAATAATAATAATACAAATAATAAATAACAATAATAATAATAATAATAATAACAATAACAATAACAATAATAATAATAATAATAGTAATAATAATATAAAATAATAATAATAGTAATAATAGTAATAATAGTAATAATAATAATAATAATAATAATAATAATAATAATAATAATAATAATAATAATAGTAATAATAATAATAATAATAATAATAATAATAATAATAATAATAATAATAATAATTATAATAACAACAATAAAAATAACAATAACAATAATAATAATAATAATAATAATAATAATAATAATAATAATAATAATAATAATAATAATAATAATAATAATAATAAAAATAATAATAATAATAATAAAAATAATAATAATAATAATAACAATAACAATAACAATAACAATAACAATAATAATAATAATCATAATAATAATAATAATAATAATAATAATAATAATAATAGTAATAATAATAATAATAATAATAATAATAATAATAATAATAATAATAATAATACTAATAATAATGATAATAATAATAATTAACTGTTTATTAAGATAACAAGGCAGGCAGAAGGCTAAGAATATACAGAGATGATAAGTTACATATGGTGTGTGTGTGTGTGTGTAATGCATCAAGTGTGGCAGCATTATGTTAGTGTCAAGGTGCAAGCACTGCTTGCTGCCTCTCGCTTTCAGCTGCCGTCACTGGCTAGCACTCGTGGTGAACAGGGAAGCAACTTGCACAAATCTTCGCCTGCCAATACAAAGCCTCTTCACCATCAAGACTCCTACTGTGCCTCCTCGTGGCAACGCACGGTAATTGGGTGCTTCGTGGTCCCTGGCTAGACCACTAAAGGATCTCGGAGCAGCAGTAGGCTCCATAAAGACGGCGCATAGGCCCACTGGCATATGGACACGTCCAAGCACTGCCTCGCTGCCTTGTGGATTAACTTTGGCAGGTATAAGGCTCAGGGTGTAAAACCCTTACGAAAAATCTGCGGTGGATCCCGTATCAGGCAGACATGCTTATAGAGCTCCAACAAGACCCCAACGGCGGTATAGGCGGAACAGGTGACCAACATGGGAACCCAACAACTACGCCGGCAGACGAAGGCAATGCATGATGGACGTTCTACTAAAATGAAACTCAACAAACTGGGCTATCAGCAGTCCATTGCAACTCTCCCTCTCCCCAGTCGTTGCAACACCTGCACTACTGGATGAGGAAAAGGAAGAAGCAAGATATGTGGTTCCAGCAAGCGCTCCTGCCTCACCACATAAATAAACTCACGCACAGCCATCATCCAGCTCATCATACTTCTCATCATCGTCAAAACACCTATACCCCCAAAAGTCCTATGGGGACGAACGAATGGTGACGGGACAGGCAGAGATTGCCGGGAGTCTCTAGTCGTGGGAGTCATAGATAAGATGGTTGTTTATGCAATGGGATCTAGGCAGCAGTGCAATCCGGTCCTGTCTGTGCGACTGAGCAGCCCTCTCGATGACCCACTCTGCTCATCCCACATGGGGAAGGGGCTTAAAAGGTGCCCTAAACATAGCCTGCCTAAAGAACCAACCTGACTGGGAAACCGCACCCAGGAAGGTGATCCTTATGTGGTCATAATCACAGATCAAAACAAAACAAAACGATACAACCTCTTATGATCGCTGCACACAAATGAGCGTCATGAAAGAAGAACTGCCCTTGTGGCACATATACGAGGGTTAACTCACAGAACGGGGGTCTGGCTATACCTTCTTCTAGCAGGGTAAGCCTGGTGTGGAGAAAAAGCGCATTTAAGGAGTTGGCTTTGCCATCCGACAATGCAACCTAACTGAAATGCCTGCTTCAGCAGGATCCCTTTTACGCCGACCTTGACAGAGTGCTAACCTCTATTCGCAGAAAAGATAAGATTGTGCTCCTAGGTGAATTCAGTGCCAGAATTAGAAGAGATGCCGACATTTGGCAGGGAATCATAGGGAGAAATGGTCTAGGCAAGTGTAATCCCAACGGCCTACTCCTCCTCAGCAAATGTGTTACACACAACGTCACTATCAACAATACCTTGTTTAGGCAAGCCGACAAGTTCGAGGGTTCGTGACAACACCCACGATCCAAACACTGGCATGTCAATGACTACTTTATAGTCAGAGATGTCCTCATCACCCAAGCCATGCATGGCTCAGTCCACTGCGACACTCATCATTGACTCGTCAGAGCCAAGCTCTCACTTCACGTCACCCCAAAACGGCGAAGGCAACAAGCCTCCAGAAGAGGTTTTGATAAAAATTGTCTGGAGGATCCAGCGGTAGCACATGCCTTCAGAGAGGAGCTTGAGCATAGGCTGAAAAACAACCCGAAAATAAACAACACACATCCCAATCCCGAATGGGGTATTCTCGACATTGTCAGGACAAAAACCCTGCAGAGAGATCCTCGGACAGATCAAAAGAATACACCAGGACTGATTTGATGAAAATTACCCAGAAATCAATGTACTCCTCCATGATAAATGTGCTGATTTAACTGACTGGTAGAACAACCGTTTATCTCGAACCAAAGCTGATACCACCCGCAAGAAAAAAGCGGCAGCCTAGCACGAACTTCGCAGTCTAAAAAACAATGAGTTTAAATTCAAGCATGGGACGAGCAAAAAATTGCAGATCAACACAAGATGCGTGAATTTTTCAATTCCACAAAAGTATTTAGGGGCCAATCGCTCATGGCGCAGCACCCCTACGCTCATCTGACGGTAACTGCCTTATTTAAGACGAAGAAGGCATCCTTCAGCACTGGAAAGAGCACTACCATTCGCTGCTCAATCGAAACACCAATCGGGATGTACTAATTACCCAGTAGGTCCCTCGGCATCCAAGGCTGACCAACCTCAGCTACCCTCCATCCCTGGATAAAGTAGCTACTGCCATCAAACAGATGAAAAATAACAAAACCTTTGGGCCTGATGGAATCCCAGTCGAAGTGTATAAAACAGGAGGACCTCTTCTTACCAACCGTCTCCACTTTCTCCTAGAGAATATATGGGAAAAGGAGGAAATCCCGGAAGCTCTTAAGGACGCCTTCCTCGTCAATATGTATAAGTGACCGGTCAGACTGTGGCAACTACCGTGGGATCTCGCTGCTGTCTGTAGTTGGCAAGATTATTGCCCGAGTCCTCCAAAACAGACTTCTTCCTGAGGCGGAACACTTTCTCCTAGAATCTCAATGTGGCTTTAGACCATTACATGGTACCACTGACATGATCTTTGCTGCTCGCCAGATACAGACAAAGTGCAGAGAACAGCGTCGTGACGTGTACATGGCATTCATCGACCTAACCAAGTCCTTCGACTCGGTCAACAGGGAAGCCCTCTGGCGGACCCTCAGCCGTTTTGGCTGCTCACCAAAATTCGTCGCCATTGTGAGGCAACTCCACGATGGCATAAACGGCAGTGTCCTGCACAACGGCACCCAGTCAGAGTTCTTCCCCATCCAAACAGGGGTTAAACGAGGGTGTGTACTGGCACCAACTCTATTTTCCATCTTCTTGGCTGCCTTCCTTACTCGTGCCATTGCCAATTTAGCCAGCGGGGTGAACATCAAGTACCCGGTGAAGGGTACAAGAGATCCTGAACACCTACGCAGATGCGAATGCACACTTCGGCCTTGAGGTGAATGTACGTAATAATCAGATTCACTTTCAACCTGCCCCTGGTTCAAACACACCTCCACCATCCATCGAGCTAAACGGTACTACACTCTCTAATGTTGCCCACTTTCTGTATCTCGGCTCCCACCTGTCAACCACTACAGACATCGATGAAGAGATCAGATCATCGGATCAGATGTGCATCTCAAGCCTTGGGCGGACTCTGAAATTGTGTCTTCAGCTGCAGGGAGCTGAAATTATCCACAAAGCTGCACGTATATTGAGCAGTTGTAATGTCCATCCTACTATATGGCAGTGAGACATGTGTCACATACAGGAGGCACCTCAAGGCACTTAAAAACTTTCACCAACGTACTTTACGTTCCATCCTCCGAGTTTGCTGGGAAGACAAGAGAATAAATGCCAGTATTCTTGCTAACACCAGCTGTAGGAGCATCGAGGCTACCATTATCCATGAACAACTACGTTGGACTCGCCATGTTACCCGCATGGACGACAGTAGACTGCCAAAGCAGCTACTTTACAGTCATCGAACGAATAGTAAACGTAACGCCGGCGGGCAATTGAAAAGCTATAAGGATAGTCTTAAAGAGAAACCTGAAAAGGTGCCAAATCGACCCCCTCACCTGGGAGTCGATTACTCAATATCGTAACGCTTGGAGGAGCTCCACACGAGAAGGTGTCAGTACTTTCGACTTAGCCCGACTGCAAACCAAGGGAGACAAGCGCCAACGTCGGAAAGACGCTGCCACCGTCCCTCCCACAGTCGATATAGCCCTCCACACGTGTAACAAATGTGGACGACGCTGCTGGTTCCGTATCGGCCACTTTAGTCACCTCAAAACTCACCAACCTAGGTGTCATCCCTAATAACTCATATCATTGTATCATAGCTGGATGAACGTCATACTCCATTCCGAGTGATAGCAAAGTAGTAGTAGTAGTAGTCGTAGTAGTAGTAGATATCGCCGGGACCCAACTACCCGATGATATCCGAAATGATAGCAGTGAGTCTACTCAACCCGAAAATGTAGTACTAACAAATGCTGCTCCCTTAGTAGCAGATGTCCACGAGGAGAATGAGAGACAGCAACCTCAGTGGAATGGCATGTCGATGGAAAATGCAGACATATGGGTCAAAGAAACCTACTCAGAAATTGTCAAGTGGTCGCCCGCTAACTTATTTGAACCACCCAAGTGTGCGGCCACCAAAGAAATGATTCGGGAGATGACTCGCTTCATGACTGATTACACTCAGGACCGCTTCCTCGCCCCCCTAGCTCTTCAAATACTGGCAATAATACCACATCTATTTTGTCAGAGGACACACACAAAGGCTAAGCACAAAGAAAATGTGGTAACAATGAAGAGAAGATTGACAATGTGGCAGACTGGGGCCCTAGATGATCTCCTATGTGAAGCAAGAACACTGCAGGAGAGACTAAAAATTACGGGTGACGGAAAGCAAAAAACCGATGACGTGGCAAGAAAATTTTGAAACAAAATGCGTGTGGGAAAAGTGTCTCTCGCGGTAAGATCTCTCACTCAGGAATCCTCCGGTGGGGTGATGCCAATAAACAGAGAGACATTAAAACTATTGAAAGAGAAACATCCCCCTGCAAGCGAAGACGAAAGCATCAGGTTCCAGGGTGACTATATCCCACCAAATGCTGTCCTGTTCGAGAAAATAACAGGAGAGATGGTGTGGAAAAAGGCACTGAAGACTCGAGGAGGAGCCGGCCCTTCAGGTCTAGATGCAAACGGTTGGAGAGTCATCCTCAGCACAAACAAGTTTGGCCCTGTAGCAAGCGATCTCTGCACTGCCATTGCCGCCCTTGCAAGAAAGCTTGCATCCTCTTGCTGCCATCACCTCCAGGCTCTGACGGCCTGCCGCCTTATTCCTCTGGAAAAGAAACCAGGATGTAGACCTATAGGGGTGGGGGAAGTGCTGAGGCGGATCATCAGAAAGTGCATAATGGAGGTGGTAAAGGATGATATCAGGGCAGCAGCTGGGAACCTACAAGTGTGTGCTGGCCACCAGGCTGGTGGGCAGGCGGCCATTCACGCCATGAGATTGATATTTGAGCAGCATGATTGTGAGGCCGTTCTCCTGGTGGATGCTTCAAACGCATTCAACATACTTAACCGCAAGGCTGCACTGCACAACATCAAGATCAAGTGTCCAAGCTTTGCGATGTATGTTGAAAATTCGTATAGGAATCCTTCAGACCTCTACATAGTAAATAACAAGGCTCTACGAGGTGTTACCATCCTACAGTCGACCGAGGGAACAACACAGGGGGACCCCGTTGCAATGGCAATGTATGCAATTGGCCTATCAGCGCTCCAACAAGAAATAAAATTTGAAGCAACTGGGGTCAAACAAGTGGCGTATGCTGACGACCTTACAGGAGCAGGAAAAGTGGAGGGCATCAAAAAGTGGTGGGACTTGGTAACATCACGAGGTCCACAAATAGGGTACCACCCAAACGCCAGCAAGTCCTCCCTCATAGTGAAGCCAGAACATGATGAACGGGCATTGGAGGTTTTTGGCGGAAGTGAGGTCAAAATAATTAAGGACGGCCAAAGACATCTAGGCGCAGTAATTGGCACTACGGACTTCAAGACCGAGTACGTGGCGGGAAAGGTGAATGAGTGGGTTAGTGAAATCCAAGCTCTGTCTGAGATTGCTAACACAGAGCCACATGCGGCCTTTGCAGTATTCACCCATGGAGTCAAGCATCGCTGGAACTACCTGATGCGTACCATCCCTGAGATCGGACCCCTCCTCCACCCTCTGGAAGAAGCTATCAGTGTCAAGTTCATTCCCAAACTAGTGAAACACCCTGACTTAACCCCAGCAGAAAGAGCACTTCTTGCACTTCCACCAAGACTGGGAGGGATGGGACTAACTAATCCAGAGGAGATTGCTGCCACTGAACATCAAAATTCACTTGAGCTCACGGCAGCCCTCACGGACCACATAATAGCCCAGAATGCAACAGGGGAAGTGGATACCAGCGAAGTAAATAAGATTCGTAGGTCCATGACGACAGATCGACAGCACTGCCAAAATGAAAAGTTGCAGCAACGATTGCTGAAGGTTCCAGAAATTTTGAAAAAAAAAGTAGCTATAGCGCAGGAGGTGGGCGCCTCGAACTGGTTAACTACGTTACCGATAAGGGCAAAGGGTTTCAGTCTTAATAAACAAGAATTTACAGATGCCATTGCTCTAAGGTACGGTTGGCCAGTAGAAGGTTTGCCCTCCCAATGCGTGTGTGGCTCTTCCTATGATGGCGATCACGCCATGGTCTGCAAGAAGGGGGGGCTTCATATGCATGAGGCATGACGAGGTAAGGGATCTCACAGCAAATATGTTGAAGGAAATCTGCCGGGACGTCATGGTAGAACCGACCCTCCTTCCATTGGATGGCGAGATCTTCCAACACAGGACTTCAAACACATCTAACGAAGCCCGTGTGGACGTCAGTGCCTAAGGATTCTGGACGCGG